TCATCCTCTTTTACCCATAGTAGCCATAGGTCAAGGTTGGTTTCTTTTATTTTTTTAGTAGTTTTCTTGATACAATATTCCCATATCATACACTTTCATAGTTAATCCACTTCTAAAAAGAGTTGTACATACATCATTACAGTAAGCGCTAATGCTCCCATCCCGCACCCGCATCTACTAATGACTCTTCAGTTCCCCTCTCCCTGTTTTACTTACCGTTCCTGATAAACCATTGCATCAGTTATTGTTTCTTAGACATCGTATCCTCCCTTGTGCTTACCAAACTGGGAGGCCTTTCTATTACAGATCCCACAGATGCCTGGCATAAATATAAGATATCTTCACCAGCAGTCTGTCAGCTAGCATGATATTCTCTTACACTGCTGGCTCATTCTTTTGTCTTATGGCCACCACCACGTCCACTGCGCAGTCCTTTCTCTTCAGCCTGGAAGCCAGCAGCAGCCTGGAACGCCTTTGTTCATTGTTTAATCTCAAAAGAGACTAAATCAAGATGCACATTATATGAACCTGCTCCATTAGCATAACAAAGCAACCCATTTCCAAATGGGGTGATACCCTAGAAGGTTAGGATTTACAACACATTTTTAGGGAACATAATCCTTAATATTCTACTCTTGACTTCCCAAAATTCATGTCCTTGCCACATATAAAACACAGTCAGTCTATCACATCATCCCCGAAATTCTAAATCTCCAATCCAAATTCTCATTTACTGAATCATCTAAATTGAATTTAGGTGAAGTCTTCAGTACTATATTGCATCTGGGGGCAAAATTCCCCTCTATCCGTAAACCTAAGAAACCTACAAATTCTGTGGTAGAAAGGCACATGGTAGGTATTTCCATTACAAATGGGAGTGATTGGAAGAAAAGGGATAATGAACCCAAAGTACAAAACCCAGTAGAAGAAGTTACATTCGTTTTCAAAGACTGAAAATAATCTGATAGTAGAGAGTTTATTTTTGGCCAGGGACCTTTTCTCTGCCAAGTGCCATTGGCTATTTATGAATTTATTCGAGGGTCATACTGGTCGAACATCTCAGTAACTCACTCCTAATGTGATGATTGAGTGGGGAGCCCTGGTGGCATATTGAGCTGCTAACCTTAGCAGTGTGAAGCCACCTGCCACTCCACGGGGGAAAGATGAGACTTTCTATTCCCAGAGTTAGTCTTGGAAACCCACCAAAGCAGTTAGTTCTATTTTATAGGGCAGGGGCCCTCAAACTTTTTAAACAGGGGGCCAGTTCACTGTCTCTCAGACCCATTGGAGGGCCGGACTATGAACAAATTCCTATGCACACTGCACATATCTTATTTTGAAGTAAAAAACAAAACGGGGCAAAAACACCTCATTTTGTCCTCGGCAACCACATGTGGCCTGCGGGCCATAGTTTGAGGATGCCTGCTATAGGGCAGTGGTTCTCAACCTTCCTAATGCTGCGACCCTTTAATACAGTTCCTCCTGTTGTGGTGACCCCCAACCATAAAATTATTTTCGTTCCTCCCTCATAACTTTAATTTTGCTACTATTATTAATTATAATGTAAATATCTGATTTGCAGGATGTATTTTCATTTACAAATTGAACATAATTAAAGCATAGCAATTAGTCACAAAAACAATGTGTAATTATATATTCTGAAATATTTATTTCTAATTACAAATAAATGAAATTTTATCTTGAAGCATGGTGTAGTATGGGTAACAGTCTTCACGTTGGGTACTCGTATGTGGGCGTATCTGCATGTGGGCGGACCAGCCTGGAGACGGATAGAGGAGCGGTGTCTCGGTTCCTAAGACCATGGGATGGTCTTAGACGACCCCTGTGAAAGGATTGTTGGGGGTTGAATGACTCGCACGTTGAGAACTGCTGCTTTAAGTAATCTATACCCTCTTGGGGGAAGCCCTACCAGCTTGGGCTTAATGTAGCTCCAGACTTTTCAGGCCCTCTGTGATGGCAGCCCTGCGCCCTTGTTTGGCTTTGTTGGTAGATGCCATCAAGCCGGTTCCGACCCATAGCAACCCTATGGAGGACAGAAACAAACACAGCACAGTCCTTTGCCGTCTTTGCAATTATCCTGTGCTAAGCCCATTGTTGCAGCAATGGTGTCAATCTAACGCGTAGAGGGTTTTCCTCTTTTTTGCTGCCCCTCCACTTTACCAAGCATGATATCCTTCTCCAGGGACTGGTCTCTCCTGACAATATGTCCAGCATATGTAAGGTCAAGTCTTGCCATCTTTACCTCTAAGGAGCACTCTGGCCAGACTTTTTCCAAGAGTGATGGTTTTTGCTTTTAGTGGTCCGTGGTACTTTCATTATTCTTCCCCAGCTCCATTATTCAAATTCACCAATTCTTTGATCTTCCTTGTTCTGTGTCCAATTTTCACATGCATATAAGGCAACTGAAAATACCATGACTTAGGTCAGGCACACACCTTAGTCCACCGAGTAACATCTTTGTGTTTCAATACTCTGAAGATGTCTTGTGCAGCAGATTTACCTAATGCAATTCATCTTTTGATTTCTTGACTGCTGCTTCCAAGAGAATTGGTTGTAGATCCAAGCAAGACGAAATCCTTGACAACTTCAACCTTATTTCCATTTCTCATGATATTATGTATTGGTCCAGTTCTGAGGATTTTGGTCTTTACATTGAGTCATAATCCATACTGAAGGTTTCAATCCTTGATCTTCATCAGCAAGTATCTCACATCATCCTTACTTTGAGCAAGCAAGGTGGTGTCATCTGCCTATCTCAGGTTGTTAATAAGCCTTCTTCCAATCCTGATGCCACACTCTTCTTCAGATAAGCCAGCTGATTATTTGCTCAGCATACAGATTGAACCAGTATGGTGAGAGGAGGATACAACCCTGAAGTGCACCTGTTCTGATTGGCAGCTCCATTTCCAAGCCTATCTACCTTGCCTAGCAAGTCCCATTCTTCTGTGCCCCTTGGACATGGCTGCCCTGCTGCCTGTTTTCGCAGTAGGCACATCTTTACAGCAGCCCCGCATTCCACTCCAGAACAGTTGGTGAAAGCTGGCAAAGATAATCTTAACACCCGGGAGGCTGTACGTACTACCCCCACCACCTCACCCATTAGAGATCCAGGAACCTGTGGCCAAACTCTTTGAACCAAGGCTTTGCTTTTCCATGCTTCAGCAGGTCTGCTGGTCTCCTAGATGTTTTAGTCTACCAAACCAAATCCTGACTCAGCGTAACAAATAGGAGCAAATAGCCTCATCTTTCTCCTGAGGAGTGGCTCATGAGTTTGAACTGCTGACCTTGCTGTTAGCAGTACAACCCTTACCTAGCCAGGGCTCTGAGACACTCCAAGAATGGTCCTTTTCTTAGAAGACAACAGATACAGTTCTTTGGCCTGTTTCCTACTTGTAGAATTTTAGGAAGCAGGCAGTGTTCTTTCCTTTTTTTATTTTTCTGTCCGTTTTAGTATTGCATCTTTTAAATTATTTTGTAGTAGCTTCTGAATTTGGGAAATGTGAGTTCTCCGTTATTTTTCAAGATTGTTTTGGCTACTCTGGGTCCATTGAAATTCCAAAGCAAACCTGGGAATCTGATTGGAATTGCACTGAATTTACCAAGTTAGGGAGTGTTTTCATGTTAAGAATATTAAGCATTAAATTTATTACCTAAGTCATGAACAGGGGCAGTTTTCTATTTGAATCTTTAATTTTTAAAAGTATATTTTAGAGGTTTTAGAGTGTAAATTTCACAGTAATTGTTAACTTGACTCCATTATTTTACTCATTTTGATGCTGTTATAAATGAAAATAGTCTTAATTTCATTTCCAGCTTGCTCATTGCATACATGTAGAAATACAGTACATTATTTGTATATTGATGTCACGTGGTATCTGGCAATCTTGCTAAATTCAACAAGGTTCTAATTCTAACAATTTTTCGTTATTCCTTCACATTTTCTGCATTCACGTTCCTGTCATCTGCTAATTAGATAATTTTAACTTCTTGCCTTCCAATTGGGATAACTTTTACTTTTGTCTCATTGTTGTGGATAAAACCTCTAGGACAAAGTTGAATGTAAGTGCTGAGTCAACATCCCTACCTGATTCTTGATTTTAGGGAATGATTGTATCTTTCACTGTGAATACCATATTAGCTGTCAGTTTTTGTAAATACCCTTTAAAAGATAGCAATTTCCCTTCCATTCCTAGCTTATCTTTTTTTTTTTTTTTTAATCATGAAAGGGTATTAGATTTTCTCAGTTTGGACTTTCTGCATTTACTGAGGCGATTCCGTGGATTTTCTTTTTCATCTCTTGTGGTATCTTGTGTATTGCATTTTCAGATGGTAAATCTTACATTCCCAGGTTACTACTTGGTCATGGTGTGCCATAGGTTTTTTGTTTTTTTCCCCCCAGACCTACATGACATCCCCACCGTAGGAACTGAGTGTGCTAGTGGGGAGGGAACAGTGGTTGCCTCTTCTTATGAGGAGCTACCACTTTGTGAGGCAGGGGCAAGGCTGGATCAGTGCCACCCAAGGTAAAGCCTCCTCCCTTAGAAGTTGGGGCTGGGCAGAAGAAGGCGCTCTCTCATCCACATCTGGGAATATAATCTCAGCAACAAATGGCTTGGTACAAGATGAGAAAATATCCTGACTTCACCACACAGGGAAAGTCTTCTAATAGGGAACTTGGAGAGAAAAGGAACCTTGTGCTCTTGGCAAGTCTGAACTGAAATATGTCTTGCTGAGGTGGGAACAGTCTTGGCTCAAATACTACATATGCCCACAGTTCTAGCCAAAATTTAGGTTTTCTTGAATAGGTATTTGTTTCTTCATTTGCCCTATGTCCTTGGGACTATTACAGAGACCTTTTTTAATGGTTTAGTTTGTTTGTTAAAAATAATTTTCACCAGTCTCACTGGAGAAGTGGACCACAGAACTCCTCATGCTCTTTTGCTGGATATCAATTTAAGAACACTTTTATTCTTTCACAGGTCACGAAAGAAGACCAGTCCTTCCAGAATATTATGCGTTGTTACAGAACTCAGCCACAGGCCCGGAGCCAGGTAAAGTATACATTCTGTAAGTTCTAAAAATAAAGCTTACAATCATGTAATGGATTATTTTTAATGATCATAGTCGATTCTGTGGGCTTGTCTCCAGAATGAACTACTAAGACTTGACTTTTTTTTTTTTTAAGACTTGACTTTTATGGGAAATCTATGCTTAATTTTCTTTAATGATTGACATATAGTTTTAAGTATTGGTTACTTTGCCATCTTTTCCTTCCAAAGACAACCGTGTGTGATATCTGACTGCCTTCTTCATTTGATCTTAGTCAAAAGGTTGAGAAGCGACGACTAGCTTCTTAATAAGTTATGAACTTTTTGTTTCTGTAGCACTTTTTCAATCTGTGATTTGATCTTATGGTTGGCTACTGTTTACTGCAAGGTCACCAGATGGCACAAATGGTTGCGCTCAGCCTTAAAGTCAGTTGCAAGTTTGAACCTACCCAGCAACACTGTAGAAAAATAGCTTGGTGAATTTTCTCTGAAATATTTCAGCCAAGAACGTCTATCACATGTGGGGTTGCCATGAGTTAGGATGAAAGTAGGTTTGGTGGTTTTCTTGTTATTTTTACTATTACTGCTCTGTACTTAATATGCAATAATTGGAATTTGAAGTCAGACAGGCCCTCACTTAAATCCTGGATCTTACTGCTGTTACCTGGGATTGTATTGAGAATCACACCAATGCTGTATAAACTAGTTTGTGCTTAAATAAATACTAGTTTCTGTCCCTTCTCACTGTGTCACTAAAGGTGTACAGAAGTGTTTTGATAAAAGGGAAAAGAAGAAGAAATTCTGGAAGCAGTGATGGTAGAAGCCATCAAAATTCTCCAACAGAATTAAACAAAGACAGAAGTAAGTGCAATATTCAAAATCATGAGTCCAGGCTTATTGGGTTGGATAGAGAATGACTAGAGTTCTTTCATTAGGATTGGAACGGAATTCGTCCCCGTGGTAGACTAATCAGCCATTAAGATCAAGCGGACACCATTTACCAGGACAAAGGGTTACGGAGAGGAGGAGGAGGAATGGAAACAGGAAACAGGGAGGAAGTAGGATGAGGGCAGTGAAATGCATGAGTTGAAGTGAATTGTATATAAATTGCTGGATGTACAACTCATGATCTGCTTTATAAACCTTCACCGAAATCACAATAAAGAGTTTCAGTGGAAAAAATTAAAGTGCCACTTTTGAACTCTTAAACAAAATTTACCTTTATTTCCTAGGAGACCTAGGTTAAATACTATTAAACTATTACTGTTTGACTGGCCATGGAATTATTGAAATGAGATTCTTAATGTAGTGGAATAGCTGCTCATCCCATGGCATTGAGGTGCCCCGTTCATGACAAGGTCTCAGATAAGACCCGGTGCTCCGAGTTTACGAAGGTGTACGTTACCCAGAGCAGGACTACAGACGTGCCGTCGCTGGTCTCTGCCTGAATCACTTAGTGCACTTAGGTCCTAGAAAACTGAGGTAACTTTATTACTGGAAACTGCTTTGCTACTGCTACATCTATGGCACGGTACTACAAGTATTAATAATCATTCTGTGCTTTGCCCGTCTGGTAGAGAGACAACTATCAGTAAAGTAGTGGAGGTCTCAGTTCAGAATTTCCGTGCTCTTTAACACAGACTGCCAGCATCTCTGTGGCTAACATACTTTGTTGTACCACTGCAGCCAGCAGAGACTCCAGTCCTATCATCATGAGGTCAAGCAGCACCTTGCCAGTCCCACATCCCAGCAGTGCCCCTCCCACACCTACTCGGCTCACAGGTGTCAACAGTGACCTGGAAGAGGAGGAAAGGGGAGACCTCATTCAGTTCTACAACAGCATCTACATAAAACGAATTAAAACATTTGCTATTAAATACTCTCAAGCAAACATAGTAAGTTTAGTCGGGATTGTCTTATACATCACTTATGTGTAAGTTGTTCCATTTATAAACTTGTTTTGCTGTTTTTTTTCTGGAGGGGCTAAATAAAACTGATGAAGTCTCTAACAGATTTGATTAACATAATTTTCTATTGTCACAAGGCATTAAACAAGTAAAGTGGGGGTTGGGTTCCCTACACAGCAGAACAGAGCAGGAGATAGAATGCATGGGGCAGGATGATCCACCAGTTTCTGCAGTGGTGACCTTGCAAATTACTGAACTTTCCCTGTAACTTGTTTCATCAAATTAATCTTTTGATTTTATTTTTCCATGAATACTTGAAGCCCCTTATATTTAAGATGGGGATAGGAATAATTTCTGGTTTATATAGTTATTGTGAGGATTTAATAGTACCGTATGTGTGTGTATAATACGTATATGAGTGGGCTTCAAAAAGTTCATGGAAAAGTTTCGCTATATTTTTATCCATTTTTCCATGAACTTTCGAAAGCCCCATTCATAAAAATGTATCTTTATCATACTTAACACAAAGTATGCACTCATTGATTTTTCTCCAGGTTTAATTATTGCTAATACATCACTGTTTACCATTCCAAGAATAATGTTTTTTTTAACAGATGGATGCACCCCCGCTCTCACCCTACCCATTTGTGAGAACAAGCTCACCGCGGCGCCGCATGCGGTTGTCTCAGAGCCGCCCTCTCTACATCTCCCCACATGAGAACGAGACCGTGCTTACTCCTCGAGAAAAGATCTCCTACTACTTCAGCAGCAGCCCTTCAAAGGTAGGTCTACCTTAGGGCAGTGGCCTAACTCCTCCCAAAACGATAGGACACTAGAGATAAGATTTAAGCTAGACTGCTAGGCACTCACTAGAGTGACAGAACTGCTACAGAACAGCAACTTAAACACCAATTTTACTTTACTTGATATATTTTGGGGTTGGGAATAGGGAAGTGATTTGGATTCATTTTTACTTGTTTCTTATTTGTGTATTCTAACGTTTCTGTTACAAGTTTGAGTTTTAAGTCTGAAGGGTTTTATTCCATTTATAATAATTATAATCTTATAAAAATATGATAGGGAAAGAAAACTTGGATCATTCTCCAGGTCCCCCACCCCAAACCAATCATGAAATGTCCATTTCTGAGGCAGGCACTGCCTTATTAGCATAGGTCTGTACAGTAACATCTGCCTCAATCTTGGAAAGAGATGCTTGGGCCAAGCTTTAATAGAGGAAAAGTTAGCAAGGTGTGGGAGGGTATTCAGGAAGAAGCAAAGTGCAAAGAAAATGATGTCCTTGGGGCAATGCTGCTAGATCACTGGAAACAAGCGATGTTAAGGAGTGGAACCTAATCTTGAAAGGCGTGACAGGATTAGATTTGTAAGATATAAATACTGACTGAAAATAAACATATCTACCTAACAAATGGTCTGGACTCTTAAACATTTTTTTAAAGGATCATTGAAAAATGGTAAAAGAGGGTATTGTTCTAGGTTTAAAGGACTCAAAGAATCATGACAACTAAATGCAGTACATGATCTCTGCCTGGACCTTACATAGAAAAACACAGTCCTAAAGGAAATTTTTTTGGGGGGGAAACAGGTAAAATTTGAATGTGGACTTTAATATATAGAGGGAAATATACAGAAACTATTCAGAAGAAAAATGTTCCAATGCCAGTAGCTTACTTTTAAATTGTAACTTAAGGAAAAAGTATGTAAGTGAAGTAAGAGGTAAAGAAAAACAAATAGGGCCAAACACTTATGAAAGGGTATTTAGTCAGTATTCTTTAAACCTTTGTAAGCCTTAAAAATAAGGCTCTCAAATTAGAGTTGGGAGAAACAGAAGCCATCAAAAGTTAGAAAATATAAACAAAAATAGAAAAAATGTATCCTACATAGTAAAGCATCACATACCTTAGAACAAATTTGCGTTAGACATGAAAATAAACTGGACTAAGTAGAGAAAGGCTCATTTTCTGAATAGGAAAACTATTATGCAGATAATTTCTTTCAATATGTAAATTGACTCTCATTCTGGTGCAGTTGTTTTGAAACCATTAATAAATGATGTTGACAAGTGTACAATAATAGACAAGAAAGCAATTGGAGTTGGGGGAAATGATCTTTGACAATTTTTCTAAGAATCGATTCTCATTCTTTTACTAAATAAACATTAATTAAAACATTAAATGGAAGAATAATAAAACTGTAAGATAATATGCATTGCTACTAATCTGATCCTTGAATCAGGGAAGTCTAGGTATAGGTGTCGAAGGGATCAGGTGTAAGGCATCATCAGAACAAAAAATCTTACCATAGTGAATGATGGGGGGAGTGCGGAGTGGAGATCCAAAGCCCATTAGTAGGCCACTGGAGATCCCCTTGCAGAGGGGTCTCGGGGAGGAGATGAGCCAGTCAGGGTGCGATGTAACAATGATGAGAAATACAACTTTCCTCTAGTTCCTAAAGGTTTCCTCCCCGCTCCCACTACCATGACTCGAATTCTATCTTGCAAGACTGGCTAGACCAGAGGAGGTACACTGATACAGATAGGAACTGAAAATACAGGGAATCCAGGACGGATGAGCCCTATAGGATCAGGGGTGTGAGTGGCAAAACAGGGAGGGTAAAGGGAGAGTGGGTAGGAAAGAGGGAACCGATTACATGGAACTGTGTGTGACCTCCTCCCTGGGGGACAGACAACCGAAAAGTGGATGAAGGGAGACGTCGGACAAGGCAAGATATGACAAAATACCCATTTATAAACTATCAAGGGCTCATGCGGGAGGGGGGAGCGGGGAGGGAGGGGAAAAATGAGGACCTAATGTCGGGGGTTTAAATGGAGAGAAAATGTTTTGAGAAACGATGTACAAATGCGCTTTACACAATTGATGTGTGTATGGATTGGGATAACAGTTGTATGAATAAATAATAAAATAAATAAAATGTTAAAAAAGAAATAATAAAATGTTAATAAAATGTTAAAAAAAAAAGTCTAGGTATATAAAGTCTAGGTAATATATGTAACTGGCAAAGGAGAGTAATTGAATTCATACAAATTCAAACGGTAGCCAAAAATATATTAAAAAAATGAAGGAATAATAGAAAACAGATATCAAAATTAAATATATTAACACAACCATATCACACGAGTTTTTCCTACTGCCATTTAGTTGATTCTGACTCACAGGACAGAGTAGAATTGACCCAGAGGATTTCCATGGCTGTACATCTTCAAGGAAGCCTATTCCTAAGTCTCTCTAACCCCAGAGCAGCTGGTGGTTTGAACTGCTACCTTCGACCCAATATTTAACCACTTGGGTTAAGAGCAGAATCCAGCTCCTAGCTGTGTACAAATGACCCATTTTAAATATAAAGGTACATAACTTTACAAGTAAATGGGTATAAATTACTAGTTCATTATGTCTTATAACTTGGTTGGATGGGCATGAAATTTCCTTAATCCTTATTATCCTCTTAATGCCTGCAGAATCCACAGGGACATATCTGTAATTTCTGATATTGGTATCTTGTATTACATATATATTTTTTTTCCTGTACTATTCTGTCGTTTTACTTTTCTTGTTATTTTTTAGTTTTCTAGTTCACTGATTCCTGCACCTTTTATAGCTTCTTAAGGTAAAATTGTAGGTCACAAAGATGAGACATTTTCTAATACAGGTATGCCTTCAGTGCTATACAATTCCCTCTTTTAGAGGGAAATTAAATTTAGAGGGAAATTAAAAGAACTGCTTTAATTACATACCACAGTCATGGTATATCAAGCTTACATTTTCATTCAGCTAAAAAAGTACTAATTTATATTTAAAGCCAAGACAAACCACCACCACAAAAAACTAATTTCTCGGATTCCTTTTTTGACCCATGGATGCATATCAGTTTCCAAAATTTTGAGAATGTCCAGGTATGTCTGTAATTGTTTTCTGATTTAATTCCACTACAGTGAGTGAAAATGTGATGTTTTAAATTTTATTGACTTGGTTTGTGGTCTAGAACAGTGTTTCCCAAAACTTAAGCAATAGTATTCTTAGTACCCGATACCTATACTACAGAAATTGAATTTGCAGTTAAAACAATCCAACAAAGAATTGGCTTCCATGGTAAATTCTACGAAATATTTAAAGATGATAAATTACCCTGAGAGATGAAGAAAGAACATTTGAAAATATCTAGCAATTACTCATAATAAAAACTCTTAGGGCACTGCTTCTGACAATGACAAGTTCTAATACATATAAACTAAAACACTTAACGGAGCAGTGGTTATGCATTGGACTGCCAATTTCAAGGTTAGCAGTTCACAACCACCAGTCTGTGCATGGGAGAAAGACCAGGCTTTCTGCTCCTGTGAAGAGTCTCAAAAGTCCACAGGAACAGTTCTACTCGGTTCTATGGGATTGCTATGAATTGGAATTGACTTAAGTGGCACCGGGTTGGGTTTTTTGTTGTTTTGTTTCACATCATACTTAATGGTGAAAGAGTAAATGCTGAAGACCGAGGAACAAGAAAAGATATCTGCTCTTGCTACTCCTGTAGTAGAGACCCTTATATGTACAGAATGGCAAGGTTAAGGCACACAGACTAGAAAGGAAAAAATCTGCATTCACAGATAACATGATTCTGTACACAACACAAAGAAAAAAAAAATCAAAAACGTATATATAAGTTTAGCTAGGTAACAAGAAAATAGATCAGATGTATTTTTTAAAATCATTTTATTGGGGGCTCGTAAAACTCATCACAATCCATACATATATCCATTGTGTCAAGCATGTTTGTACATTTGTTGCCATCATCATTCTCAGAACATTTTCTTTCTGCTTGAGCCTTGGTGTCAGCTCTTACCCTCCCTCCCTCCAAAACCCTTGACAATTTATAATCTTTTCATGTCTTACACTGACCAATGTCTCCCTTCACTCACTTTTCTGTTGTTGGTCCACCAGGGAGGGGGCTTATATGTAGATCCTTGTGATCGGTTTCCCCCTTTTCCCCCACCTTCCCCTTACCCTCCTGGTATCACCACTCTAATTATTGGTCCTGAGGGGTTTATCTGCCCTGGTGTGTTTCCAGCTCTTATCTGTATCAGTGTACATCCTCTGGTCTAGCCGGATTTGTACAGAATTGGGATCATGATAGTGGGGGGGAGGAAACATTAAAGAACTAGAGGAAACTTGTATGATTCATTGTACCCTGACCAGCTCGTCTCCTCCCTGGGGGAGTGTGGAGACCCAAAACCCATCTGTAGGCAACCGGACATCCCCTTACAGAAGGGTTGCGGGGAGGAGATCAGATGTATTTGTACTTAACAGCAGTTAATCAGAAGGGAAATTTTAAAGCACCATTTATAATAGCACTTAAAAATTACATACGTAGGGATAAATCTGACCAAAGATGTATAAGAGCTGTATCCTGAAACACTACAAAATATTAATACAAATTAAAAGACCGAGAAAAATACCAAGGTCCATGGATTAGAAAGAAGTCCCTGTGTTGCACAGCTGCTTGCCAAAAGGCAGGCAGTTCAAGTCTAATTAGAGATGCATCAAAAGAAAGGCCGGGCAATCTACTTCTAAAAACAGCCATTAAAACGTTGGAATTGACTCAGTGGCAACGGATATTTATGTATATGGATTGGAAAAAATACTAAGATGTCAATTGTTTCCCAGTTGATTTATTATAAACTCAGTATAATTTCAATGAAAATCCTAGATTCGGATAAATTGTGATTTGTATTTGTATAAACACACAAATTGCTTTTTAAGATTACAGGGCTAGGCAAGGGGTCTAGAATAGCAAAGAACAAATGTGGTGGACTCTTATCTAATTTCAAGTTTTGCTATTAAAAAGCTATACAGTTAACCCATTGTAGCACTGGCAAAAGGATAAACATGTAGATCAGTAAACATGAAGTGGAGTTCAGAAATAGACCCATGTATATATGTGGGCAACTGATTTTTGACAAAGTTACAAAGACAATTTATCAGAGAAAGGATAGCTTTTTCAACAGTTGCCATAGTAACAATTATGCTGCATGGTCGGGATTAGCATGAACCCAATCCCTAAAATGCAGAGATCCATTCCCATTTCTCCCTCCACATCCAGTCACCTCGGTGGCACTCTTATCTGATCCTAGCCACCCAGAACTAAGTCCAAGCTCACAAGTTAAAAAGACACTGTCCTTCAGACTATAGGCACACACTAGCTAGAAGTAGAATCCACACGAACACCACCTTTCTAACCTGGCTATCAACTCAAAACGGATTCCTTATTAACCTTTCAGGATGCCATCTGCAAGCTTGGCCATTACTTTGTAAAATACTGGCCTCACTAGCCTTCGAATTTGGTAATTTGGTAGAATGAGTCACAGAATTGAAAGCTGAGGAGCCCCGGTTAAGTGCTTGGCTGCTAAACAAAAGGTCAACAGTTTGAACCCACCAGCCACTCCAAGAGAAAGATGCTTGACTCTGTCCTGTAAGGTCTAAGAGTCAAAATTGACTCTATAGCAATGGGTTTGATTTTATTTTTTGCAATATTTTATTATAGTCAAAAAAGGATATTACAGACATCAGGTGACATCTGGGAGTGTTTCCAACATGGAACTTCCATGCCCAAGGAAGCGCCACCTTAGCAAGAGCAGTTCTCCGCAACCAGGAAGTCTCCGAGCCTCCACGCTCAGGACTTTTTTTGGCCAGCCGTGCATGACAGGCTACAATCTGGAGGCTAGTTGACATAAGGCTCCACACTTACCAGCACAAATCCTCAGGGTGTCCCAGACCATCATGGTTACCAGAGCCAAGAACAAAGGCCACAATGCTTAGGGTAAAACTAGGTCCCCACCGATAACCAAACACACACAAAAATTGATATTGATGCCCTACGCCGGAGATCAGGGGTAGTGGTGGTGTAGTGCTTATGCAAGGTCAGCAGTTTTAAACCACCAGCCACTCCTAATGACAAAGATGGGGGCTTTCTACTCCTGTAAAGAGTTACAGTCTCGGAAACTCACAAGGGCAGTTCTAGCCCTTTATGCCATCTACTTGATGGCAGCGAGCTTTGTTTTTTTTGGTTTATACCATATACCAAAACTCAAATGGATGAGACAATGTAAAACATTGAAACTAGACAACTTATACGAAAAAACATGGAAGAAAATATTTGTGATTATATAATCCATTTAAAGAATTGAGAGACTTTAAAAGCAAGATTCATAGTTATTGAATTTTATCAAAATTAAAGATTTTGTCCATTGAAAGGCACTACTGAGAAAATGAAAAGACAAGTCACAGTAAACTAAGAATATACAAACCCCTTATTTGAGAAAGGAATTGTACCTAGAATAAAGAATTACCAAAACTCAATTAGAAAATAACCAGATTTTTCAAATGGGCAAAGATTTTTAACACACTTGACAAATCACATCCTTATTAACATGTCTCAGTATTTTATAAATGACAGTAACATATTCTGGCAACAAAGTTGAACCATTAAAATGCTATCACGTCACTGTGTAGATATAAAATAGTGTAGCTACTCTGGGAAACAGTTTGGCAGTTTTTTGTCAATATGCCCTTATACACCTGGTAATCCTACTCCTAGATGTTTACCCAAGTGAAATTAAAACAATGTTCCATACAGAAACACACAGATTTTTTTATACCAGCTTTATTCTTAACTGCCAAAAAGTGGAAAACAGCCCAAATATCCTTCAAATGATGAATTTTGAATAAGCAAACCTGTGGTACATCCGAGACTACTACTAAGCAGTACACTAAAGGAGCCCTAGTGGCTAACAAACAAGAATGGAGTTAGACCAGAGACCCAAAGCCCATCTGTAGACAATGGAATATCCCCTCAGAGGCATCACAGGGAGGGATGAGTTAATCAGTGTGCAGCAGAGAACCGATGGATCACACAATATAACTCTGATCCCTTGAGGTTTCCTCATCCCCCACTCTCATGACCCCAGTGCTACTTCCCCCTGTGGACTAAAGTTCAGGACACACGGAACCCAGGAATGGGAATAGCGATACTAAAAGAGTAGGGGAGGGGAGAAGAGCTGGGGATGAAGGTGGTACTAATGCAACGAACGGCACATCACCACACTCCCCCGTCCAGGGGGAAGAACAGAAACCAGAGGGGAAGGGAGACAGCAGTTGGTGTGAGATGAAAATAATAACTATAATCTATCAAGGGAGCACAAAAGGTGGGCAGGGAAACGAGGAGCTGATCCCAGGGGCTCAAAGGAAAGTAAATGTCTAGAAAAGAGCGATGGCAATATATGTGCTAATATGTTAGATACAATTGATGTATGGGATTGTAACAAGTTGTAAGAGCCCCCAATAAAACCTTAAATAATAAATCCCCCGTGGAAGTTAAATCCTCATCTACTACCCTGACGTTGGCCGCTGTTCAAACCCACCCGACGGCTCCATAAAAGAAAGACCTGGCAGTCTGCGTCTGTAAAAATTAGAGCCTAGAAACCAGTTGGGTAGCTTTATGTCACCAAGTGTTTGAGTTCAAATCGACTTCATGGCACCTGACATAATCCACTCAACAGCATAGGTATATCACGAATGTATTCCATGCTTCAGTGATCAACACTAGATTCACCAGGCTATTTACCATCCAGTTCCATTTCTATGACCTTTTTGGCAAGACACTAGAGGGATCAGAACCACCTATGTGGGTACCTGTGGGTGGGTTGACTGTGAGTTGACTGTGAGGGGAATTTTCTGCAGTAAAAGAACTGTTTTAATTGTTAGGTGATTGTGTGCATTTAACAAGACATGCATGTCTGTACACTACAGTGGATAGGGTTATAGATCAAATGAAAGTAATTGTGCAGTGATGAGTATGTAGGGATTCACTTCCAAACATCAGATATTTTCTCTGATTACATACGAATATGATTATTATACTTTTCTGTTAGGAACATGGACAGTGTGAAGCACCAGATGACAAAGCAGTTTAAACCACTAAGCTACTAGAGCCCTGGTGGCATAGTGGTTATGCATTGTGCTGCTAACTACAAAGTCAATAGTTTGAGACCATCAACTGCTCTGCAGGAGAAAGACAGGGCTTTCTACGGCCATAAAGTCTTGGAAATCCACAGGTGCAGTTCTACCTTGTCCTTCAGGGTTGCTAGGAGGCAGCACTCAACTCAATGGCAGGGAGTGGAGTGGAGTGGAGGGGAGGAGGGGAGTGGGTGAAACTAACAGAAAATATAAGAACTAATTTCTGGGGCTTTGGAAAAACTTAAGGCAGAAGGCACTATCAATGGGTCATTTAGCACTTTGGCAATGCCTTTTCTCTTCATCTGGCTTTTCCTTATTTTAACCACAGAAGATAATGTGCATAACCCTCTTCTTAGGTCTCCCAAGTATGATATACAACTAGCAACATTTTAGATCATGTGGAGTAGCACCATCCAGATTGTGGTGCTTAAGGACTAAGCTTTCTTCTCTGAAACCCCAGTGGAGAATGACTAAGAAATGAGTGGCACTGGATAGGAAAGGGAGCAAGGGGCATCATAACTTTAACTCGATTTTTTTTAAAATCAGGAACTTAACGAGCTCTCACACATTGGAACTGTGTAGATCAAAATCACCTATGGCGTTTATTTAGAAATATGAGGGGGCTTCAAAGACTTTGTAGAAGTATTCTGATAGTATCTTTTATTTCCACAAACTTTTTGAAGCCACCTCATATTCTACAAGACTCTAGTAAGTCTTGCCAGTAAAAATAAGTGAAGTTAGCAAACTACTGGCTCTATTCTCTATAAACTGCTTTACTCCTTTGAGATGATTTGACTTAGTGTGCATTATCATTGTAAAGATTTTCTCCCTACTGTTTCCCCACTCTAGAGACTGAGAGAAATTAACAGCATGATCCGGACAGGGGAAACGCCAGCCAAAAAGAGGGGGATTCTTTTGGAAGATGGAAGTGAATCACCTGCAAAAAGAATTTGCCCAGAAAATCACTCTGCCTTATTACGCCGCCTGCAAGATGTAGCTAATGACCGTGGTTCCCACTGAGGTTAGTTTCTTCAACGGGAACTGTCTTTTCACAAACTCTGGTTAGCAGCAGCCTTGAACACACACTAGATTAGGAGGCTCTTTCCCTTAACCCAGCCAATCAACTAGTGCGTGAAGGGGAGGTTTCTGTGAGATTTTGAACTCACTCTAAGTATCATCACGATATTTTTATTCATCCTTAAAATATTTTCCCTACCAATCATTGCTTACTTACCATCAGGGTTGCTTAGAACAGGTATTATGGAGAACAAAACATGCTCTACTTTGAGAATTAAGTTTCTATGGACAGGCTCCAACAGAAGAACTGTATTTAAAATGCATTCCTGTTTTGTTGTAAGCTCTGGTCCTCAAGAAAAGCAAAACAAAAAATAGGTATTTTGCCCTCCATAACTTATCAGGCATCTGAGACTTTTGCATTCCTGAACAAGAGGGAGCCCAGCTTCAGAAGTCCCTATGAGTCATAGCCCCCATTCCTTTTATGAAGTTCTCCTCCCAGGAAGTAGGGGGCAGTGTGAAAATGTATGTGCAGTTGTATAATGTGTGAGTGACCTTATATAAAAATGGCACTTTAAGCTACAAAAAGCATGATTTTTTTTAAACCCAGATTTTGCTATATATTTGCAATGGCACTTTCTACAATATGAGTCTTATTAAGTACAGTGTATCATCTTTTATCATTTTCTACTTTCAAAAACTCAATGTTAAAGTTCCAGTAGCCACCTTGAGTGTATTTAAAATTCTCCAGTTTTCTGTTACTGTTATATATGGATCAGCTGGCTAAAGATGTTAAATCAAGTTGAATTAAGGGTATTAATGTGAATAATTATGATCTCTTTTAGAAGGTAGTTATCCAAAAGACGTGTATTAAGGTGATCTATTTTAAGATATCTTTGGGTATCTTCCAAACATAAAAAGAGAGAAAATTTAGAAAAATTAACAGTACGATCCTGATAAGGGAAAAGCCTATTTTCCTTAGTATATAGTACCATTTATACAATTTAGAAAACGTTACTTAACAGCGATTGAATTATCTATATATACCTTTGGTAATCACTCCTATTCCCAACAGTTTTAAAGTTGAATTAATACTCTGATTAGGAGACAATTCAATTGTAAATTGAATCAATATAAACAAAGTTACTAGGTAACTTCATATTGCTCCAAAAGCAATACGGGACTTCCTCTCTTCCATGAGAATGGTATTCTACAGAAGTATTTATAAAAGCTCTTAAGATACCGCAACTACAGTTTTATATGAAAATATTTTTCAATAAAGCATTTATAAATTAGTCTGTTTAGTTATATTACGAAAAAGGTGTTTAGTTTCCTGCATAAATGACAAAAAACAATCATTTATTAGTTTATTTCGTCTCTACAAACACATTAGTCATTCATCATTTAAATATTTGACTTCATTAGAAACCATTTTAACACTTTTTCTCCTCCCACCATAAAAATACATCAAGTAATTTGCTTTAAAAAAAAAAAAGAACTATGAATAAGTGTCTGGTTTCCTCTCCCTCAACTAGTAACGTACCTTAGTGACAGCAGTTTGTAAATCAGTAAGACAGTGGGCTGAGGACTGAGTTTCAAATGATCTACTATGGAACTTGCTCTCCCACATCCTAACACATGTACAACTGAAGCCAACAGTTTAAAAATCATTAAGTAGTGTTGAACTCTTCCTATTCTAGTATTAGTTTCAATGAATGCAACTTACCTTTAGCATTATGTTCAGAAAAATATTTAAGCCTCAGGTCCCCAACAATTTGGAGTGTTGAACTAGTAAACCACCCTAAAAACACTTCTGACAGAAGTAATGCGTTACTTAAAAGTGTCCAAAACCAGCGGGAGAACCTAAGCACACATGGAGAACACTGATCTCAGTCACTGTCCACAGTTTTACTCTTCGGCCAGTCCCTTGCCTTGGTCAGCTTTAACTAGGCCAGAGTCCAGCAGGAAAGTGCACAGTGCACCAGATTCACCACCTCTTAGGTTGCTACTGTTTTCTCTTCTTTACTGAAAGGTTGTACCGAGCCAGGCTTTACCCAGGACAGGCCAGCAACGTGAACACTTTTATTGTGCTGCTCTTCAGGCTTCTAGGCACAATCAAAAACAGACATTAAACAACCTACTGAAGAAAATCCAACACCCTACAAACGTGTTGCCCAAATGTTATTGGTATACAATAAGTGGTCTCCTTTTACGACATTGTAGGAAAGAAACAGTGACTTAGCCATTTTTGAAATGGTCATTCACTTACCTTCTGAGTCAACATCTTCTCCCTGGCTTCATCGTGTACAGAAGGATTCCATGGAGAAAAGCTTAAGGGAGAGAGAAGTAGAAAAAACAGCTTTGGGCTGACTAAATTTCTAAGAAACACCAGTTTTTCAGTAATTAAACCAGTTCCTCATAAAACAATAAAACGAAGAACAGTTTTACAGAGTGATAATCAAATAATCATGTCAACACGTACTTACAGATGTCTACATAATTTTCTCACATGATAATGATCCTTTATCGAGCACTTTACGTAAGCTATCTCATTTAAGCCTCACAGCAATCTCTTACGGTGAAGTGCAAGTCTCCCCATCCTTGCCTCTAAGGAGTGCTCTGGCTGTTCTTCCCAGACAGTGACATTACATTCTGGGTCACCTAAGTGAAACTAAACACCAGGCAGCCTATCTGGAGAGCCCAGGCATGCTCTTCTGTGGCAGACAGTGGGCCAAATTGCTAAATCAGTTCTCTTCCAGACCCCTTCCCAAGAGTAAGCATCAGTGCTATGGGAACCCACCACCTCACACGATTCCCTTTCCTCTATCATCAAATCTGAATGTCAGTGTGGCAGTTCAAGAGGGGCTCCAACTAAAGCTGCCAACTGAGACATCCTGACATGTGACTGAATGTGCCCATGACAAGCACGTCTCCACACCTTCCTACTGCACGACGTCCCAGACAAGGTAAAGTGCTTAAGAACCTCACAGGCATCAGAAATCAAGTTGACACCAGTTTATGAAGATTCTATAAAGGGACATGCACATCCCTTTCAACCACCATCCAAAGACCACCTGGAAGACAGAAGCACAGCACAACATAGTACAGCTTGTCTGAATGACATTCCACTTACCTAATTGCATAGGGGTCTTCTATTTTAGGTTGGTCAAACAAATGAGCCGTGCACATCTTAACACTGTCAACCACTTTACTTTTAAAAAGCTGGACATCTTTTTCGTACCTATGTTAAATTTGAATAAAGTTACCAACTTATTCTAACTTCGCAAATCTCCAAATGTTTTTGAAACAAAGCAGAAATAACATACAGTACTGCAGCCTCTGGGTTTAGGGGGCTTGTTGTGTCAATCTTGTAGAAAACTCTCCTCGCATACATTAACACTTGCCAGATATGATTATGATTCCGTCTAAAGGGAAACAACACTGATTACGGAGGCATCCTCCTGCTGAATTATGCAACTGTAAGAAACACTTCTTTACTAACCTCCATTTTGCAAATGCTCTCTTCACATCCAGTTCACCTGAGGTGGGATCAACTAGCGGATGAAAGACGGGGATATCAAACACCAAGCGCTATATTTAAAGAGAGACATGCCCTTTACTGCAAGCAGTGGGGAAAACACACAGCAGATAGGCTATCCGCAGATAGTCATGAAAAGAGCTTACACTGTTAAAAGCCCAAGAGCTCACCTTGGGATACTTAATTACTTTTACCATTTGCCTGTAAAATTGAATTTTGTAATGAAGAGGAAAAAAGTCACTTTCCTCCTCAGAGCACCCTGATTCCCAACCACACTGGAAATGCTGTAGTTCCAGCCTCGCCTGGACACTGAGTAGAAAATAAAGCTCAAGGCAGAGAAGAGCCTGGCAGAAATGTAGCAGCATAAATATCCTCTCAATAAGTCTACTGGGCAGACGGAAACTGAAATCATCACGGTATAAGAAACTCTCTGAGCTGTTTAAGTCAGACATGTACTTACTGGACAGTCCCCGTCTGGGTAGTTATCAGGGATGTAAACTGTAAACTTAAATACGCCATCTTGATAAAGTCCATGCCGTATGAATATCACTCCAAACCACACTAACAGAAAATGAAAACAGTTAAGGTTTTAGTTTGTGTTAGAACCATAAAGCTACAAATTAAGAGTGAATCTGTGGCTTACTTAATGCAGAACGGTAAGATGGCTGCACATAGACTCCTGGTAACTTCTGCTTCACAACCAAGGTACTAAAAAAGAAGCAGCAGAATAATTACCTCATATGGTTATCAACGACACCCACAGAGCAAACCACCATATCATGATCATTTTCTGAGACCAGGCATCATCATTCAAGGGATGGCTGCTGCCCCAACATGTTCAGTCATCATAACCTGTCACTGAGCACACTGATGTGCTCCGGCCCAACTGCAGGCCAGGTACTAGCTTTATAAAATGATCTGGGAGAGGCCCAAGCCAAAAAAGTGCCCCTAAGAAATTAAATCCAAAATGGGATACACGAAGAAGATGCAGCTTCCCACAGACATTCCTATTGGATACCAGGTGATTCTACACAGCACAGTTGATTTAAGTATTTGCGAAATTGCTATCGCTTGGAATGGCTACAGATGGTAGATCTGACACGCATACTTAGAAGTCATTTTTAAATGCAATTTTAGGTCATAAAAAGTCCACAGCTTTGCCCTCACTTAGGTGCCATTTTAAGTCTGAGTCACCAGACATGCAGCAGAAGTCAGTTTTCAGGCATGTAGAGGCTGGCTACAGAGTGTTGCAGACAAGCAAGTCAATGCTTCACTGGCTTTCCTGCAGCCGACTGACCTATGGGCAGCCATTCTGCCCCTCTCCCTGTGGTCATGAGCCTCAGTAAGGCTGTGACCAGACCCTCATGAGAACAGTGCTTCACTAGGGCTTAAAACACAGTAATCTCCCATTCTTGAAGTAGCGTACTGGGCCAGTATTCATTGTTTTTACCACCTATTTGCCATGGCACTTGCTTACTTTTAAATTTTCTGTAGTTATCTATTATTTTAAATCACTAAAATCCAATCAACAATGATAATTGGCAGATTATCAACTGGTATGACTTTCCAGAAAAGGCAATTCTGTGGCCGAGTACAGAGAGCAGGTTTAACTGCCACAATAGAAGTCTGTCCTCACTCCCTGTCCAGCCTCAAACACAGGCATCAATTCTAAACTGAAAGGGCCAGTGCTATCAAGTCACACCTATTCAGTTACACTGGGGCCTTAGACCCTCTTCCTATTACAATATTAGTATACACTCTGGGGGATATGGGGAAAGGATGCTTTTACAAATGTCATATACAAGGGAACTTTAAAATGATGGCTAGTGAAAGTTCTCCAAATTTTCTGTAACATCTTCCAGTCAAATTCCATCTAAATACACTTGATTTTGAGCCTGGGTTGTTTGTCAACTGCTGTGGCATCCCTAGGATACACTCTGGACAAGTGCACACTTAACACTCTGTATGTAGATCTGGGCAGCTTTAGTTCAATTTAGGACTTCGGTATCTAATCAAGTTTAACTTACATGGAACCTATAGCTTGTTAGTCTCTGCAATTGCCTAGTTCTGCCATAGAGGGTCCTAGAGAATAAATCAAATCTGTGCCAGACTTTCAAATGGATGAAGAGAGTTTTCAGAAATTACTTGGTACGTTTTTCTCTTCTCCAAGCCAATGTCTCCATTTCCTTCCACTGGTGACCCCTAAGGTTTGGCTTCCTGACTCTTCAGGGGGGCACTGTCTGTCACAGTGCCTTCTGCAGGGTGGTGGATCTGATTCAGGAAAGAACAGTCTGCCACTGACCTGTTCTCTACATTAACCTCCTTAGGAAGTGAGTTCTTCACCTCATCTGAAGTTTGGAAAGAAGTTCCTGGCCTGCTGTAGGGTTTTCATAAATCTTAGATTCTTCTTCCTCTTGCTCTCTAAAACAGACATGGATACTACTGGGGGGGTTGGGGGTCAGATGTGAGTTGAGACGTAAAATTAAATGGCTGCCATTTACTGAATCTATCAGATTAAATCCATTGCCTTCAATGATCATTCAGAATGCAACCGAATATCCTGTTGAGAACTTACAATTCTGCGAGAAGAGAGTATTCCAGGTAGAAGGGCCCATAAGAAGCATGTGTACCGTTTGTGGACTGTACCGCTGGAGCTGGACAAGTAGGTTTAGTTATGGGCAAAGCATTTTTGGGAATAGAAGGCAGTTGTTTCTTTGGAGCAGTGCGTGGAGGACTGGTTTTCACGTCCCCTGCTAACGGCTTCTCTTCACCATCAGATCGCTGTTCAAGACGAAGAAAACAATCTTAACTCTATGACCTAAAAGCTGCAAGGACTCTTTCCAGAACTTTTTAATACCATGAGCAAGAGCAGGCAAAAAGAAGAAAGCTAAAACAAGAGTAAAGCCTTAGGAAAACTCATTTAATAGCTGCATCCTCTAAAGCCAATAGTCAATATTTACATGACTAAGTGAACCAGATAAAGAAATGGTTTTACTAAGCAATTAGACATTGTACAAAACCTAGAAAAGTGCCCTTGCACCTTGATACTCTGGAAGGTTGGGTGCTAAGAAGTTCAACAGCATGAATCCTGGTGACTGAAATGAGTCACTCCCTGATACTGTTAGCACCTGGGTGAGAAAACAAAGGAAAAAGCTAATCTCTTGCTTTTGATCTTGTTCCTAATGGATATGTTTCCACACTTGGAATATTTCCAGCATAAATTCCCATCCATAGTCAAAGACAAAGGTCTCGTGAATCAGAGAATAACCTATCATCTCAGAAGCACTTCCTTGGCTCAAGTGCAACCAAAGGCTGTTTACTTAGCTGAATACAAAATGTATAACGTGCATAAAAGTAAGATTCTTAACAGTGGCATTATTTCTTCTTATTCTTCTGTATAGTGTAAGCTTCCCGAAAGTGAAAATGAACTATTTTTGTAACAAAAAATAAAAGTTCTGTTTAGAAAAATTCAACCAGTGATCTCATGTCTGACTTTATCATATTGGGTTAATCTTTCCCCAGGCTTCTCTAATCATCAAATCCAACTTTCAGTTTAGTAGGAAATCTACTACAATAACATGTCACAAACTTCATTTGTGCACCTACAAACTAAATCAAAATAATCTTAGCATTGTAGTTACCAGAATAATTTCCATTTGAGACATAATCTCAGTCTCAGAAATCAACATTAGCCAACAAAATAAATACCTCTCAATGGAAAATCTAAATTAGAAGATCAGGTTATTCTGTAAAAGTTCTAGGAAAGCTTGATATGAATTATTCTGGTCTCTTTTCTGACAAAGAGCAAATGGGTTTCCTCACTAATTTCTTGACTATACTTACTTTGCGTATAGAGCTTGTAGACATGCTCCAGAAAGGGTTCATAACGTGCACTCCAAGCAAAGAAATTCTGTGGCCTGGGTCATCAAACTCCCGTCCTCACCATTCACTTTACCCTAAAACAGATAGGAAAAGCATAAAACAAAACTAACAATTAAGAATTCCTGAAATGGTTAAAATTTGAATCTGACACTTTATAAATAGAAATAACAATATAATGCTATTTACAGGGAGCTTCAAAAAGGTCATGGAAAAATTCTGTTATTTTTCATTTCCAATTTCCATGAATTTTTTGGAGTACCCTCAGATAAAAAGCAGTTATAGCTTAAGAGTCAGGGGAATAGGAGGAGGGAGTCTTTAGACGTCTTCTTCCTTCTGTATTCCCTCCTCTGTCTGACTCCAATCCCTTCCTTCACCTAAGATACCTTTAAGAATCTGAACTGAGTCCCCGTTCATGGTTCAGAATATACAGCAATAGTGTGGCTTTGGTGCCCCAAGAATTGCTATTACCACAATATCTAGGCATCTAACTCTTGGAAAGACAAGTTCAGAAGGCTCTGCACCCACATACACAAAAGTTGCATCACTGTTCCCAGGGCTGTGGAAATACATGATACTGCTCAACAGTGGCTGATTCCAAGTGTCTTAAATAAGTTGTCTTAAGTATAAAGTGACTGCTGAGTGAAATTTGGAGCCAAAGAAGCAAAAGCACAGTAGAACATGCACATCTTGATAAGAAGACAGAAATGGGTAACACTGTTCTGTCAGGATGATTCCCACAAAATTTCTTTTCTCAATGGCTAGAATATAGAAACTGCAGGACGAGTCTTTCAGAGAAGTGGCAAGCTGTACTTACAGATGCAACAAAGGAGTGCAAAGGAAGGCGTTTCACAAATGCAAATCTTCCACTGAAGATTCAGATCTTGGATAAGAAACGACGTCTCAAAGGTCACAAAGTCAGTAGGTCATTTACTAAAAATACAAGGGAAGAGGCAGAGGCAAAGAAGCCAAGCTGAGCCTTAGGAACAGAAACTTCTCTAGTGATTTCTTCCAAAGCTGTTAATGTTTAAAACAGGCCTCCTCATCTGAATTCCTACTTACACCAATAAAAAGGCTGAAGGTGAAAAGGGTCAAAATTAGGAACATTTTACTTAGTTCATAAAAAGATCAGCAGAGAACCATGTACCAAGCATCTTTATTGTTTCCTCTCTGCCATGGGTGGGTATCAGGGCTCCCAAACTCCACCAGTGCCAATTACTGCTTGGCTTTCCACCCAGTAATTAAATCTGAGAAACAAGGAACCTGGTTCTGCCACTGACTTACATCCAATTCAGCAGCAACAGCTTTTGGCAAATCTATCTTTATAAGTGACTATGTATGACACAGATGAAAATAGCTGAACACCAGAAAAGCATGGGGACATGTTTATATTGGGTCCAGATAAAAACAAGATTGGTTTCCAGATCCAGAAGTATTGTAGTCTACCATAAAGGCTTAGGCAGACCCAATTTAACAGAGGACCGCCACTCAAATCGAGTAGGGAGAACCAATCGCCTGCCTAGTCCCTTCCAAGGCTAACATGCTAAGATTCTATAATTTGCCTAAAGACTCTGAGTCTAGAACGTGCCCCCAGTTCTTCTGGCCTTTACATAGCAAGTTTCCCACTACTTCGCCCTAGCTTTTAAAATGTTCATAGCAGCAACATAACGACCAAGAGAAATCGTTACTTTGGAAGCACTTTACAACCAAAGTGCCATAGGTGGAAGGTAGATACCGGAAGGTAGATATGTCCTCGTCCTTGGGAACAATGTTAGACTTTCTGCTGGTTCAGCCGGTCCCTTATAGAGCTCAGAACCCTAGGTGTCACGAGCCGAGGCGAAACTGGAGACCAGTGCCGTTTCTCCTGTGCCGCAATGCCTCTAACAGGCATGAACTTGAGAAGTCATCATCCCAAAAGATGCTTAGAGATTGCGAATTAAAGGGTGACAGGGCAGTGTCCAAAGAAAAGACAAAAACGACTCGTTCCCAGATGGGCAGCAGGTCCTGGCCCGGTGGCCGGGCACCCTCTGGGGCGGTACCCGGCTCCACGCACGCAGAGAATCTGGACAAACCTGTCTCGAGGTGTTGCTTGGCAGGGGCCACGTCCTGGCCTCAGCCAATCTCAGGGCGCCGGCGCTTGGCCTACCCGGGCCCGTCGGCCCCACCGGCAAGGGTCCAAGGGCCAAGTTGGGTGACGGTCTCTCCTCAGGGGAGGCACAGGGACTGGGCTGGAGAGGGCAGGCCCCAGACCGGGCGAGGAGCTGGACCTGCCTCCCTCCTTCGGGCCAGCCCGCCCAGCCCCCAGGGCCAGGGGTGGGCAGTGACCCGACGCAGCAGGTGCCTGCAGCGCGGACAGGTGCGCGGCCCACCCCCGTGTCTCCGCGCAGCCACCGTCGCTGCGGGGCCAGGAGTGCTCGGGTAGGGCAGACAAATGCCGGCCCCTAAGGCACCAGGGCCAGGGTTTACGGACTCCTCAGCCCTCGCGTACCTACCGGACAATCTGGCAGTGCGCCACCCCCACGTTGCCTTCAATACAATGCTTCGAGCCACCGAGAGCCGCCGCCGCCAGCCGCCAGCATCTCCGGCCACAGCACCAGCCCGGCCCCTGCTCGGTCCCGGCCCCGCCCAGCCCTGCCCTTCCCTCAGTGTCGGCTCCGCCTTCCCCGGGCTTCCGCCCCAGCCTCCCGGCGTCTAGTGGCTCCCGGACCTGCCCGTCAACAGCGTTCTTCCGGGGGCGTTGGCCGAGGGCGTTACGTCCTGCCAATCAAATCCTCTTCCTTCTGGTAGGTAGGGACGCGCTGGACCCGCCCCCTTACGTAACAGCTTTGGGGCCCCACTATCAGTCACGGAAGTATTGGCCCTTTGACCAACGGTGGAAACAGGCGCCTGGACATAATTGGCCACAGCGCCCGTCCATCACCATAGAAACCCGCAGCTGCTGCCACTCAGCGAGGCAGGGATTGCGGGGGAGTGTGGCGGGGGGCGGGGAGGGCTTTCAGGCTGGGCCGGTCCCAGGGTTTCGGGGACTTGACGGTCAAATGTGGGACTGCTAGTAGTGGCGCGGGGCAGCACTGGGCGGCCGCTTGACCCCGGTGACCGCCCGGGCCCACCGCACTACCTGCTGTGGCTCCTTGTGGCACCACCGCATCGCCTCGCGAAGGGAGGGGTCTGATGGTTGTCAGGTGGGAAGAACACACACCCATACCTTATTAAAGCAGAAAGGGCCTAATGGAGGTGGGTGATAGGAACTGAGCTGCCGGCGGTCCTTCTGAAACATGGACACACCAGCCCTCTAGGCGAGTCTGGAGAGCGGCGAGTACAGTACCTGAAATCGACATTTTTACAACATCCACACCCCGTCCCGAACAGGAGACCCTGGCAAATCCCTCCTGTTCTGATTTTTATCTTTTCATCTGACCCATCAGCCTTCACTTTGATCTGAAAAACCCAGGACCACACTGAGCTTTTCTTTGCTCAAAAGCCTTGCCACAGGGGTCATTCCATACTGCATAGAAACAGCCTTTAAGGCAAGACTGTTCGGATAGCATTCCCACATTCCCTCCTCATTCCACACACCTGCCAGACGATGTCTGTGGCAGCTGCAATGGGCTTTCAGCACTGAAGATCTTTTCTCACAATGGTCCCTCCTCGCGGGATGTCCTCCAGCCGCTGACGCCCGGAGCCTCCCTGCCCCTAAAAGTCTCCCACTGCTTTCTTGAAACACCCAAGGCATTGGCATCTGGGATACCGTCGCATCTCCGGGCACAGTATCTTGCACTGGACAAGGGGAGCTACTGGGACCAGTGGTTTGCCGAATTGTTGGTCGCCTCCAAGATTACGGTAAATTACTTACTTGCTAGATGGCAGGAAGCCAGACTTCTCTTATATTAATCCAAAGAGTTGTTTCTGAAATCCAGCTTCTGCCGGTTGCTCAACTGGCTCCTTCAGGTTAACATATCAGTTTCCTCCATGCTTTGTAAGCGGAAATGGCACGAAAAGAAACAACCTCCAAGAGTTTCTATGGGAGGTGTTTTTTTTTAGCGTTCCTGTTGTTGCTAGGTGCCATAAAGTTGGTTCCGACTCATGGCAACCTTATGTACCACAGAACCAAGCACCGCCTGGTGGAGGACCAGCCTCACAGTTGTTATGGTGAAGCCTATTGTTGTAGCCACTGTGCCAATCCATTTTTTTCGTTGCCCGTATATTATACCAAACAGGATGTCCTTTTCCAGGGTCCTGTTTCCTGATTACATGTTCAAAGGACATGAGTTGTGAGTGAGCCTGGGTCCGCCCCCGCAACCTGCGCAAATAACCTACCAACCAAATCATACCAAATGACACATACACCCTACAATCACTCTAACACAGAGTGTTCACAGAGTTCAAAGCTGTGATGGGGGCTGAGAAGCTTGGCAGCCCCACTCAGAATGCACAACTGGCCAGATGGCTCTCAACAAATGCTGAATGCTAGTTTTGATTGTCACCTTTTTTTCTGCTTTCATATAAGTGAAAATTCTCTTTGGATGTCTCATGAAAGTCTTTTATAAATGTATAATGGTGTTAAATGAACCATAGTACTTAAAAATATATATACCCCGCCCCCTATTAGTCTCAGAAGATGAGACAGGAAGCCTTTCCTTGTGGCCCTTGTTGAGGACCAATCATGGTCCTTTCCTAAGCTATTTTCCAACTTCATATACTACCTCTCTCCTTGGGCCTTGGGCAAACTCAATCGCTGTCTTAAGTTCTCAATGAGGACCCGCATAGTGATTTTTCCAGCCCATTTCTGCCCCCTAAACTCCAGATGCTTGCACCCAACTGACACGAGATACCTCAATACGTATCAGCTAGAATGCACTGATACACATGACAGAAAGAAGCCTTTTTTTCCCAAAGGCCTTTTGAAGATCAAGAATACATTTCTCTAAAAAAGATTCTTTTCACAGAAGAAAGGCCCATATCTCAATGGCAGGAATGAGGCACTGACAAAACCATTCAAGTGAATTGAGTTTGCCCATTGTGATTGGCTTCAGCTAATTGATATAAGCCTGGGCTCCCTAACTATAAACTATATGCCACCATCATCATTTTCAAAGCATTCTCTTCCCACTTGAGCCCCTGATATCAGCAACCCATTTCTTCCCCCTCCCTCCCTCACCCGCCCTCCCTCACGAACCCTTGATAAGTTATAGATTATTATTTTCATCTTACATTGTCCTCTGTCACCTGTGGGGTTAAGGGTAAGAGGGAACCCCACAAAACATCACAGGTTTGGTAGGCGCAATTGTACAGCGATAATAAGTAGGGATTATAGTAAAGTCATAGAGAGCATGAGAGCTAAGATAGAGTCAAGTAATGGAGTCAGACGCAATTCATGGTAGCATATCTCACCTCCGCCCGGCTTGATGGTCCTCGTAGAGGGGGCTCAGCCGTCAGAGAAGAAGCCGCTGCTTCGTCCTCCTTAGTCACCTTCTCCAGCCACCCTCTCGAGTACCAGGGAGCCTCGTTATTTATTGCTAACCACGTATCGTAATCATACATCACAGAAAGGGGCAATACAATTCATTCTAGAACAAGTTTGATCTCTCTAATGTCTCACATAATAAAGCAGACCATTACTATTCTGGGAAGCATGCAAGTTCCCTGATAGTGGACAATAGCCTGAGTCATCAGGAGGGATATTAGCATAGGCAATACAATCAATAGGAGAGGAATCACCTAGGGGTGTGCCCACATTGGTTGTGGAATAGACAGTGGTATCTGCTTGATCTAAACAGCTGATAATGGCTAACTAACCTTGGTCACCCTTGGGCGGGTTTGCCCTCTCTGGTATCTCTGCAAGTAAATAGACCACCATTATCCTTATCAGAAGGGAGTGGGTCTTATTCAGGGTGAGTCAGACTAATGGTCTAGCCACTACAGATGGCCAATGTCAAGGAGAATAACCTCTGACCCACTTTCGCCGAGAGTCACTCTTAAGCAGCTAAGTTTGGTACATATTTTGGGGAGACAACTTAAGAGAATTCCTTCTGTTCCCCACAGTCACCCCTCACCCACTTTTCCATTATTCATACCCCTGGGAGGGCATTATAGATTGATTCTTGTGATCATTTCCCCCTTTCTCCCCCCACCCTCCCCAATCCTCCTGGTTTCTCTACTCTCATTGTTGGCCCTGGGAGATTTATCTATCCTGGATTCCCTGTGTTGCAGGCACTTATCTGTAGCAGTGTGTATGTTCTGGTCTAATCCAATTTGTAAGGTAGAACTGAGTTAATGATATTGGGGGTGGGGTGGGGGAAGCACCAAAGAACTAGAGGAAAATTGTGTGTTAAATCTATACTGCACCCTGACTGGCTCATTTTTCCCTGTGACCCCTCTGTAGGTGGATGTCCACTTGTCTACAGATGGGCATTGGGTCTCCAATCCATGCCCTGCCCCATTCACCTTGGGTATGATTGTGTTCTAGGGGCTAGATGCCTGGTACTTGATCCCATTGACACCTCATGATCACACAGGCTAGTGTGCTTCTTCCATGTGTACTTTATTGCTTCTTAGCTAGATGGCTGCTTGTTTATCTTCAAGCCTTTAAGACCCCAGATACTGTATCTTTTGACAGCCTGGCACCATCAGCTTTCTTCACCACATTTACTTATGCACCCATTTTTTCTTCAGTGATTGTGTTGGGAAGGTGAGCATCACAGAATGCCAGATTGTTAGAACAAAATGTTCTTGTGTTGAGGGAGTACCTGAGTTGAGGCCCAATGTCCATTTGCAACCTTACTCTTATTTATATGATATTAGTACATAGTTCTATTCCCCTCTCATTTTATATATATATACACGTATGTACATGCCTGTATTTAGACCTCCATAAATGTCCTTTGCCTCCTGGTTCTTTTAGTTTCCTCCTCTCCCACCATCATGTTCAGCCTTCATTCAGGTTTCATAATTCTTCGCTGCAACATTACTCTTGATTAAGCCCCACTAGGCATTCTACACTCTTCTCACCATTGATTTTAGTTCACCTGTTCCCTTGTCGCTGGGTTGGTCCATCCCCCCCTCCCTCCCCTTTCCTTTTTCCCACCTCCCCTTCTCCTGTATCTCCCGGGAATCATTGGTCCCATTCTTTTCATCTCCAAATTATTTATCCCGCCTATCTTATCTAGATAGACATGCAGATACATTAATCAGTGCAAAAACTCGGCAAAGCCAAATAAAACAACAAATGAAGTCAATACAAAAACAATAACAACAACAACAAAAAGAAGACACTGACAAAAATGGAAAGGCCTATAAATAGTTCAATAGTTTGTTGGCCTTTACAAGTATTTTCCAGTTATGTCTGATGGGATACCACACTGTGTCACCAAAGTCTATTTTTGGTATTCCCCAGTGTGTTAGTCTGGGTAAACTAGGGAAACAAATCCACAGAAACTCATATGTATAAGAGAGAGTTTTATATAAAGGGTAAGTGTACATGAAGAAAGCATCCCAACCCAGTGCTGTCTAAACCCATAAGTCCAACATTACCCCATGTGTCCGACACCAATCTACAAAGTCCTCCTCCATCTCACAAAAACATGCAATGGCGCTGACTGCAG